CTGCCGGAGAAGAAATTGATTTCTCTGAGGTCTCCATACGGAGAGAGCACATGCAGAGATTATACTGAAGATAGCATAGACATACACAGAAGTAGGGATACAGAGCCAGAGGCTCAAGAACTGGGGGTGGCAACCCAGGAACAGCAAGTGGATTGAGTAAAGCACTTACCCTTAGGTACAAAACAAACAAAAACCCCACTAATCAGGATAAATCATATTTAATGCAATATTTTTAAAAATGGAAATCAATGTAAAGAAATCCATGATGAATAGACCATCAACATTTTAGATTAAAAAGGCCTCAGTGTAATAGTAGTTGTTCTGTTTGCCCCTCCACTATGGCTCAGCAAGAATTGCCTGGAAAGGATGCAAGAAAACTTTCTGAGGTGTTGAAAATATTCTATATTTTGGTCTGTTCAGTGTCTTCACGCACACACACACACACACACACACACACACACACACACACTTGTAATTGTTGAAACTAATTGAACTGTACACTTATGATCTGTGTGCTTATTATTTATAATCGTACCCTGTGCATGAATGGTTAGAATGGGACTGTGATTCAGTTGAGCCTAAGGAATGCTGGAGAAATGTTGCAGGAGACTTTTGGGATCATTTACTTAGTCTTTAAAGGGAGACCAACTGGAATGTATGGTCTCAACATCACTCTGTGTGAATATAAGAGCTGCAACTGCTGTGGCTATCTAGTTACAAGCTTAGATGGACACTAAACCTGGGAGAAGGGCAGAGCTAAAAGAACCAGAGATATGGGGGCCAGGGCCCTCATTCAACTATGCCTGATCCTTGCATTTACTTTGGAACTTTCTAGTTATAGAAGCCACTTTGGATGGGACTTTCTATTACAAATTCAGAAAGACACACAGAGAAAAATGACTAGAAGGAGTAGGGCAGTAGCAGCTAGCAGTGAGTGAGCAGAAGACATGATGACTCAGAAGTAGAGTGCAAATAGCCTAGAGTGCCACCATCCACCACCTGCCACCCAACAGGTACTGTGCTAGCACTGGAAGAGAGCAGGGAAAGAGACAGACAAGGTCTCTGCTCTCATAGGCTTATATTCTTGCTGGTTAGGGAGACAGGAAAGGAGATCAGAATGATTTTATATAGTGGTAAGTGCTGTAACGATAATATAGAGCAATATGAAGTGTCAGGGGGGACTACTTTCATTGGAAAGTTGGAGAAGTCTTCTCCACCGAGGTAACATTTGATTAGTGATCTGAATCATGAGAAAATACCACTGCTTGAAGCACTGAAGAAAAATCTTTCTTAGGTTAAGCCAAGTAGCACATTCCTGAAAGACAAAAAACAGATGAAGGACTGTACCTCCCTAAGAACTTTAAGTGTGAATAAATCACCTGAGAATCCAGTTAAAATGAAGATTCATATTCCCTAGGTCTGGGATGAGGTCTGAGAGTGTGAATTTCTAACAAGCTTCCATTCAATGCAAATATGTGTGGTTTACAGACCACACCTGGAATATTTCTTCCAAAGTGCGGTTTGCAGGAGTCTACAAAGCAATTGAAATTCAACATTTATGAATTTATTGCATTTTAAAACAGATACAACATCCAAGCATGCCATCCTTTTTCTGGCAATTCATTTTTTTGTGCACTAGTTAGTGATATGTTGGAAACTAAAATCACAAAACCACGACCAAAACCAAACCAACCAAACAAAACCTAACCCTTTACAGAAAGTCTGAGAAATACTGCCCTAGATTAAGAGTGCTACTGTTAAGGAGGGAGCAGATCTAGCTGCTAGAACTGCAGAGCAGCAGGAAACTTTGAAATACCAGTTGCAATGGAGAGTGGAAATAAAATGACAAGTACCAAACCTGAGTATGGAACAACTGACATTATCAGTACACGTTCACACAGATGCATTTCCCTCCTTCTCTCATGGCATTTGCACATATTCTGCAGGAGCTCCTGGTAGCCAGGGATCTACTTCTCAGGCAAATACCCAGTAGTGTCTTCTCTAAGGACATCCTACAGCTTCAGAGCAAAGACTTTCTTATTCTGGAACTTAGGGATCCCTGGGTAGGATGGCTGTCCGTCAAAAGTGAAGTACATGAGTCAACAAGCCTTCCCATATGCAGAGAGCCCAAGTAGTTGTTCATTACCTTATTGTTAAATATGAACAGACATCAAGGATCACTAGACTTTCAAGGAGCCAAATTAAACAAACATTGTTAGAGATGGAAGGAAAGCAAGATACATAGGGACAGGAGCACATTAAATTATAATTACAGTAGAATTACACAGACTGTAAGAGAACCTAGTCTCTAGAACTGCAGTCTCTGAAATGACCTTCCATTTTTCTCCATGTGCTTGTGCTGTGACCAGATACCACATTTCTCCATGATACCTGGTTGTTCAATGACAGACATTCTTGTCTTCCTGGTTTTCCTAGCTATCCTTTAGCTTTTTATATATTAAGATTTAGTGTATATTAAGATATACACTTAATCTCAGTGTATATCTTGAAATTTAAAAATAGCTGTCTGCCTCATGGTGAATAAATGTGTGTTTTTCATAAATTTAAGTACTTTTACCTACCAGTAACAGAGAACCCAGTGCAAACTAGCTTAAGAACTAAAGTGAATTTATTGACTCATTTAAATGGAAAGACAGTAGATGGAGTAGATTTCTATTGAGATGTGATCCAGTGACCCAAGGGTGCACTTAAAAACTCAACTTTTGCCCTGTATTCTTTTGGCCATCACAAGGAAGGAGAATTATCTAAAAGAGACTGTACAACATGAACAATTTCTTTTCTTGCTGTTATTGCTTATTTTTCTTAAATTTTTTGACAATTGATTTATGACTTCAAAGTAGGCCCTTTGGGGAAGAAATATTTTGTGGTGAGAGATTCCATAATGTAATTTTAGTTTCTGTAAACCTGAGACAAAGATACTGAAATGGCATTTAATTTTGTCTCCCCCAAATTAACCTAATTCCCATACTCTCTTCTGTAATTTCCTTACTGCATCAGAATTCTGTGGGTCCAAAACAAATGAATTCAAGGTCAGAAGGTCATGTCCTCCAAAAAGCTTTTCTTTTATGTCTAGAGAAATGACACCCAGTGAAACACACTGCTGGTTTTAGAGCCTTTATCTCTTTGTAAACAGTTTGTAATATGAAGAGAGACATATTACTCTTCTTGTTCTCAAAAGAGAAATAAATTTCACATTTTTCTCATGCCTGGGATTCTCTTTTAGCTATTTTTTCCTCCTAATGACTTTCTCCTACACACACATATATATATCAATTATTCTTCTTTCTTCCTTCTATATCTTCTCCGGATGTCTTGTCCACCTCTTTCTTTCTAAGGTGGGGAGACTTGAGAATGATGATGGAAAGATTATACAAGATTGAGATGTGTTGAAGATATAAGGGGAAAAGATAGTTATTTTCACTAACTACATTTTCAAGGGATCCATAAGTGATGAAATTCCAAGGACTTTGAAGAAATTCAGTCAAGAGTTTTTGTTTCCCTGGTGGGCAACTCTACACTGATTCATGTTTGTGAAAATATAAGGGACCTTGGGCTGATGCACTATCTCCACCCAGGGCAAGCAGCTAACTCTGTACTCCACTCCCAGCAGCAAGTAATTTATGTATTTTTGCAGCTTGCTCAAAATATCCATTTATAAGCTCAAGTCAACTTCCCTCTGAAGCGCTGTATATTTTATAAACTGTCATTCTCTTTAAATATCTGATGAATGTTGCAGACATGCAAATTGATTTTTTTAGTAGCCAAAACAAAATTACAAGTCTGCCAAGAAAGAATAATACTTTTACTCAAGTTGAAAGACATTCTTGGGCTTCTGAGTATCTTTTGATTGTATATTCTAATATTAGATACATGTCATGAAAAACAGTAACTTTCTTGAACAGAAAAAAATTTGTGGGACACAAAAATTGAAGACATCAGAAAAACAATTTTAAATGGAACAACATAGAAATGAAAGTCTATTCTTCCTGGTACTATGCGATTCTGAACATTTCTTAACATTTTCTGTTTCTCTCTTTTAATTGGATCATCAAACTAAGAATGCATACTGATGTGCTAGAAGTTATTCACAAAGTGTGACTACTGTCCTCAATCCTGTTTCTCACCATCCTATATCTCAATATACTACTCATGCAGGAGGCATCCACAGTCAGTCCACAACAATAAAAACCTGAAAGACTAGTTACTAGAGGCCACCAGTACAAATACGTTGTTAAATTCAGTAAACAAGCAAACAAAAAAGGACTCTCGTTAAATGTGAATTTTTGATAAACAATGAACAGTTTTTTTAGTATAAATATGTCCCAGATGTTGCATGGTATACTTGTACTAAAGAAAATCATTTTTTTTAAAAAAAATCTGAAATTCACATTTATTGGAGCGCCGGGTATTTTATCTGACAACCTCTCTGTCACGGGTACCCCAGACCAAAGGCCCCGGAGTTGGTTTAAAACCCAGGACCGGCAGGAAAGGCTGAGCCCCCTGATTGGCCAAGGCGCGCCCGCCGCCCCGCGGGTCGCAGGCGTCACCGCTCTCCGGCAGCCCGGGCCCCGCCGCCACCGCCTCCACCGCAGCCCCGGTCGGCGCAAGTGCGGCGCGCGCTGGGGGAGGGGGAGCGACAGAGCGCGAGGCTGGCGTCGGGCCGCCGGCTGCCGGCCGGGCCAGATTAAGTTTCTCGGTCACGCGTGAGTGTCTGTGCGCGTTTCTCCCCGAAGCTGCTCGCCGCGCCGTTACTTCAGAAGAGGAGAGAGCAGCGTGGGCGAGGCGAGGCAAGGCTCCTCTAGTCCTTGGCGACCTCAGTTCTCCAGCCCTCCGCCCCTACCGCGTCCCCGCCCGGGGCGGCCGCTGCGAGCCGGGTAAGCGGCGCCTGGCCCGGGCCCGGAGGCCGGAGCGCGCCCCCGCATCCTGCGCGCGCTCCGGCCGGGAAAGTGCGCGGCGCTAAGGGCTCGGCGCGCGGCGGCGGCTGGCCCGGGTGCGCTTGCTCCACCCCGCGCGGCCCGACCTCTCGGTGGAGCCGCGGTCTTCTGGCTTCCTAAAGCGATGGAATCTGGAAGTTTCCTTTGCTTCTCCACTCCTCCACCCCAACCCGCCCCCTTTTTGCTCATATTCTAAATGGTTTAAAAGTTTTTTTCTTCCCCTCGCCTGGAGAGGTATAGTAGTGGTGCCAAGAAGGGGGAACCCCGGGGCCTGGAGCGCGGGCCGGGCCCTCCGGGGTGTGGGAGCCTGTTGCTTTCCGCTGCGTGTCGGCGCCGGGAGCTGGACGACCCCCCCACTCCCCACCCCCCCAGTTACGCAGTGCCAGGTTTTGCTGGGTGGGAGTAAGGGGTGGGGTAATGCTCTGGTACTGTCGTCTCTAGCCTTGGCAGTGGGGGTCCCCGAGGCGAGCTGCTAATTTGTACTGGCTCCTCCCGACTCTCAGTGGCGCCCTTGCCCTTTCATCTGCTATTCCCGTTTGTGGGGGCTTTCTCCCCCTGCCCCCGCCTCTTTTTACTCGTTGACTGGCCTCTGTGCTTAGGGGGTTCATTGTCTTCAGTTTCGCGGCCCTGAGATGCTGGATGTTCCTAGGGAAGCACTGCCTGGGAGACGCTTTGTGTTGCAGGGAGTTGGGCTTGTGTATCGGGTGGTGATGGTGTAAATTTTTGCTTGCATTCTTTGCAGAGGCACAAAGGCCGAGGTATTCTTCCCGGGGATCACATGGAAATTCAAGCTGGAGTGGTGGGGAGGAGGTGGGGCCGGGAGAAGGCAGCCACTACGCTGGGGATTTGAGACAAATAGGGGGTGTCGGACTTCGCGTTCCTTCTCCGCAGGCGCGACTGTGGAGGTTGCGCTGATAGGGAAGACCCTGAGTGCCTTTGTGCGGAGGCGGTTGCGGGTGGAGGCTATAGTGTTTCCTGTGTTTCATCAGATAAGAGGACCATGACTTCACCAGCCTCAGAGGAAAAAAAAAAAAAAAAAACCTGTCCCTGTTCTTTTATGTCCGGAGGGGAAGAATCTGGAAAGTAACCAGATCCCGCCTCATCCTGCATTGATAGACAGCTGTGCTGTAAACATCCTCTTAGTGTTTACGTGGATTTTCTTCATTTAGGTTGCCTTTTATAAATGACAGTTTATCCGAAAACTAACAAGGTGATGGTTCTAGGGGCTTGGAAGTTTTTACCTGTTGAATGTGATTGTAGGTGATTCAATGAACTTTTTGTGAGGGTCGAGTCATTTAAATTTGTATAAGATATGCTTTAATGTCTGATAGAATTTAGGTAAATAGTTGCATTTAAAACTAACCAAGCCAGGCGCACAGTACGATGGTGCAGGCCGATGGTGCAGGCCGTACTCCCAGTGATTGGTGAAGTCTAGACAGTGGGATTGCAAGTTCAAGGCCAACCTTGGCAATTCAGAATTAAAAAAATAAAATAAAAAAGCGCTGGGAATATAACTCAGTGGAGATGTAGCCCTCGGATCCCAGCCCCAGTGCTACCCCAAATTAAGCAAATAAACAATTAACTCTTAACATAGAGACATTTCTTGCCTTGAACTTCAAATATAATCCAGAACTCTGGATTAATGCATCTGTGCCCTTGAGTGTCACATAGTTTGGGGGTACCCCTCAACTCTTCTTTAGTTCTCCTCTCTGCTTCGTTTGCTAAAATAAACAAAAACTAATAATTCTTAATATTTTACTAATAGATCATATGTGTACCATATCTCTTACATTTGTTCCTTTTTCTCCTTCTTTCTGTCTTTCTTTTCACCTCCCCTCACTTACTTCTGGTTTTCTTTCTCCCTTTACTTCACTCCTTCTTTCTTTTATCATTCCTATCACAGATTTGACTCTGGTGGGTTTTTAAGGGTGTCTGTGTATTTCACGTGCCTTTTAAATATAGGTGAAACATTTGACATTTAATTTTGACATTTAATTTTGCGTTGACTTAACCCTGATTGACACTTCCAGCCTGTAGCTGATTGGGTGGGGAAGCTCTGATTTACATATGTGGAAGAAGTGGACCCATTGTCTTGAATTAAGATTAAGAGATTTTAGAAGCTCATTAAGAACAAAGAATGGCTTGGAGGAAACTATCCTGAGTTAGAAATCCATATTTCCTCTACATTACATCCCAAATCTTGTCATAGGCTTGACTCTTTCAAGTTGAGTTGCAGGTCAGCTCCATTCATTGGATATTGAACTGGATGTTAAGGCAAACAGTAGAGATCTTGTACTTCAAAGTGAAGAAGCAGATGACTTCCTAGTGAATTCAAGATTGCTTAATGGTGTAGGTGAATAATGATATATTATGTGCTTTTAACAGATATCTGTCCTGAAGTAGAATTTCATTTGATAATAGTTAAATTGTTTCATATATTATCAACTTCATACTTATAACAAGAAATGTTATTTTCTCTTATAAATTAGTATTGTGCATTGGAGAGCATTTACATATAGTTGGGAAATGATGTTTAGTATGGTAAAACCACAGTGTTGCAATTAAATAGTTTTAGTGGCGTTCCTTGGATGGGGAAATGAATAAGGTGAAAAAAAAATCACTTTGGATAATGAGTCCTAAGAATCTGTTCCCTTCCTGTGAAATATTTCCAGAGAAGGAATGAGGTAATTATTTGTTTAGTATGCAATAATAAATGGATTAGGAGGTATGTAGCATTGGATTAGATACTGTGGAGAACACAGCATATAAGATACCGCTCTGGAAATTTACTGTCTTTGAAAAATAGACAAATGAGAAAGAATAAAAAGGTTTTACATGAGCAAAAGTTACAAAGATTCTAAGTAGTTCAACATAGGGTTGCTAGCTGGCTTCATTGAGGTTCTTATGAAACAAAAGGGACTTCTGTCTTCAAATAAGAGTGGGAAAGTGAAGGTTTTTATTTTATTTCTTTTTGTTGTTGTTTTTGTTTTTTGTACGAAGTACAGCTTACATCTAGTTTTTGCATTGAGAAGTGGTTATGGTATTGGGAAAGAGGTGGGGAAGTAGGTAGGCAGCAGGAATTGGAGTAGATTTCCATTTGGATCTTTCTATAGTGGAAATGAAGGTTTGTGCCAAGGGAGGAAATTTGGCTGGGAAAGGACAATTGATGAACAGCTATGAGGTATAGACTGAGTTTTGTTTTTATCCTTTTGGATTTGCCCATTCCAGTGTTTCTTAGTTCTGTGGAATACCTTTAATATCCCTATTTCTGCCAATAGTCATTTCAAGAAAATCTACCCCTTTGCTAGGATGCCCCTAAAAACTCTTAACAGCTTCCATTGCCCAGTTCCAAAGCAATTTTCACGTTTTTCTAGGTATTTGTTATAACAGCACCCCATTTCTTGGTACCACACTCTTTCCTGGTACCAAAATCTGTTAGAGCTACCATAGAGTAGGTAGATGGCTGAAACAACAAATTTGTTTCCTTACAATTCTGGGGCTGGAAATCTAAACCAAGAATTGGTTCCTCCCGAGCCTCTCTCATTGGCTTGTGAATGTCTGTCTCTCTCCGTGTCTTCACATGGACTTTCTTTTGTGTATGTGTGGGGCTTAATCTGTTCTTATTAGTCATATTGGATTAGGAGCCACCCCAAGGACCTCATTTAACCTTTAGTACTTATTTAAAGACCCTGCTTCCAAATGTAGTCACATTTTGAGGTATTGGGGATTAGGACTTCATGAGTTTGGGGGGATTTAGTGGACACACAACTGACTGGCAGCAAAGTTCCTAAAGAGAACAAGGCTGTAAACTGGCTAGACCCTGAAGAAAAGACTGGCTCAGGGTAAAGGAGGGCGACCAGGGAGAAGGCTATTATGGCAGTCTAAACAGTATTGTGGTAATTTGATGCTTGGAAAGAAAGGGAAACTTCTATTTGAGGAAAAAGATATTGTATCTTTGGCTTGAGCTACTTGTTTTCTTTATCTAGGTGTCTCCTGGGAAATTGTGCCTCTGTGGCCCTTCCTTATAGTGGACAGAGCATTGATTTGTGGTCCTAATATTTGGTATACCCCCACACCCCCGGAAATTTATTCACCTTTTTGGAAACATAAGATTCAAAAGGCAGTTTATATCATAGAAAATAACAAAAACTTTTAAGGTGTTTAAATTATATTTGATGAATTGGGAAAATGTTAAAGCTGTTCCTCCAATGGTGGCTGAATTAAAAAAAAAATAAATAAAAGGAAACTAAAATTCTTGCTTTCTTTTTTTCTTCCTGTCTGCCGGTGGCAGTTGAATTTTCTTGTTTAGGGAATTCTTGTATTATCGTCTTTTTAGTTTCATTTGTATCTCTAAAAACAACAGTCCTTGTTAGTTTTCTTATAAAACATTTTACCTCCAGATCTGCCATGCTGTAAATAAATGCATGATGGAAAAGTGAGAAAGGAAACATTTGTAAGAAAGATGAAAAACAGAAACATCAACTAAACACACAAATCTTAAAAACCTATTTAGGTTGTGTTGGCGGTTTAATGTCAGTAGTTGGAGTAGGTATGAGATAATTTACCATTTACTCTATTGTTTACATTTTAAAACCACATTGATGATAAAATATGTAAGATAATTGTTTCTTTTTAGTAATTCTCTGATGATAAAACTAGCATATTTTAAACATATGAAAGATAGACAAGTATAAAGAAGACAGACACAAAATATTTCCTTTAATTCTGTCACCCAGATGCTGCTTTTAAAAAAATCTCCATATATTTTGGGAATGAGGATGTGTAAATTATTTTGATGCAAGCAGTCAATAGGTAGAGCTGTTCAACAGTAGATTTTACTGATTGCTTTTTTATTCAGTGAGGATAAAGTGACCTGGGATTATTAAACAACTGTACAGTTTGAACTGACACTAATAGCATTTTTTTGCACCAAGGTGTCTTGACTCTTGAGGTATAATAAAGTGCCATGTGGCACACAAGACACTAAGTAGAAATAAATTTAAAAACTACCATCTCTGCTTAAAATTAAATGCTAAACAGCCATTAATTTCAGAATAACTTTGTTATTACTTAATGAGATAGCCCCTGTGAGCCTTCTTTCAGGGAACTGGCTATAGAAAATGGATATGGTAACCTGTTATTCTGTGCTCATGGCATATCACTAACCTAACAAAACCATGATGACAGAATCATTAAGGTTAAAAATGATGCTACAATTTCAGGAATCCTTTCTGTTGTATAAGGTATGCATAGTTTCGCTTCTAATTTGCTAGGATCCTGTCTGTCCTTTGGGGCCATTAGAACAAAATACTGTAGTTTGGGTAGCTTATAAACAGCTGAAATTTATTTCTTACAATTCTGGGAGTTGGAAAATTGACAAGGTGTATGTAGGCAGATTCCCTGTCTGGTGAAGGCCACATTTTTGTGGTTCTTATGTGGTACTTCTTGTTGTGTCCTCACATGGTGGAATGGGCAAGACAGCTCTGTGAGGGCTTTGTTGTTGTTTTTGTTAACTGTGGATTAAGCCCAGGGGCACTTAACCACTGATATATATCCCCAGCCATTTAAACAATTTTTTTTTTTTTTTAAAGTTTTGAGACAGGGTCTCACTAAATTGCTTAGGGCCTTCCAAAGTTGTTGAGAGTGGCTTTGATGAATTCTCTTTTACAAAGCAGTGATCTCACTCATGAGGCCTCAACCTTGAGGACCTGCTTACCTCCCAAAGACCCCATTTTCTAATACCATCAGCTTGGAAGTTAGGATTTCAACATGGATTTTTTTTTGTGGGGGAGGGGTCACAAACATTTGGTCATAGCAGACCCCCTAATAGGTCCTACTTTGTCTAAGACATTACTAAAATTCATGAAGCTTAGGTATTACTCTCCTCCACACCAAGTTTCCCAAGGCTATTTCATTTTAGTTGAAATCAGGCATGAAGTCTGCTTCTGAACATTCAGAACAACATGTTAGGATTGGAGGGGCCTCAATGGTGGAGTTCAGTGGAGGGTTGCCTGACCCCTTTCCCTTCCCTGCCATGTTTACAGTTTTTCAGAGAATACAGAATGTTCTCATTCTCTGCCATTTGGAAAAGTATAACATTGGTGCTTCTTTATTCTGGTATAATTTGTTGAATGTATATTGGATTAGGCTAAATCTCAAAGTATTTTTAGGTCTGTTTTGTAATTTAAAGTTAAGGTTAGTGAGCATCTATTGGGTGTTAAACTCAGTATGTTCTGGCTTCATTTTTTTCAGTGAGGGAACAGGTTCTATTTATTTTCTTGCAGTATTATTTATAATTGACATACACTAAACTGTATATGTGAAAATTGTATAATTTGTTGAATTTTGGCTCATGTGGAACATCCGTTCAATCAAGAGTATCCATATCTGTCACACTTGAGTTACCTTATGTGCCTTTTTTATGTTTTCCTAGCTCCCTTATCTACTTATGTCCTGAGTAACTACTGATCTGCTTTCTGTCACTGCAGATTAGTTTTCATTCCCTAGAACTTTAAATAATGGAACTTTTTCCATTGTCTCATAGTATATTCATTCTCGTTTTTGTCAGGTGAAAAACTTTATCTTACATTCTCTAATTGAGTTCTGTGAATTAAACTGACAAATGACAGAGTAAAAGAAAAAGGCATACAAATTTAATTCATGTTTTTAATTTTACATCCAGAGGGCTATACACAAACAAGTGAACACCCAAAGAAGTTGTTTGACCTGGTGGCTTATATACTATTTTCATAATAAGAGTTGTTCTCTTCTTACTCATAAAGGAGAGGGAAACATCTTTACTGGTAGAAATATATATCATATTAACAGAGGGAACTTTTCGCCTTATTTTTGGACAGAAAGGAGGGCAGAAAATCCTCTTGTGTCATCTTTTTGCCAGTTATTTTCAGTTCAAAGAAATCCTTATGTCAAAATGGTGTATTTTGGGGTGGCATGTGCTGATCTCCTTCACTTTTAACTGACTTCTGTGTTTGATAGTGTTTATCAGTCTTCCTACAGTTAGCCCCTTTTGGATAAGCATAGGATTTAAGTATCCTTATTGAATGTCACTTGAAGTTTCAAAGTGTGTAATCAATTGTTTTAAATACACAACTGGAATTTTATAATAAAAGAATTTAAAATATTTAATGATATCAGGTGATTAAGTAAAATCAAATAATACAAGATCAGTGACTATTAAGGCTTTGGATAAGCTTTTATATCTTACCTTCTGAAGGGTCTAAGCCCAGTACATATTTCGTTTTGAACCCAGTGCTATATTTTAAATTCTCTTTACCTACTTGCATATTTTTAGTAGTTCTTAATACATTTTTTTTTAGATTTGTCTGTCATGCCTTTTGACAAATTTATATTACAGTCATATAGTAAATTGAATAGCAAAGAAATTGGGTGCCAGGATTATACAAATAATTGCTAATCTGTATATTCCACCTGAGATTATTGAATATACTGAGTTGGAGGGGGATGATCTGAAAGTCTAACTCATTCTAGATTACTGTGACCAGTAAAAAAATTCTGTGAGCCACATGTTTAATTTAAAAATTTCTGTTCACTACAGAAAATGAAAAAAAAAAGCAGTAGTTGAAGTCAATAGTTTCTCCAAAATGTCATCATTTCAATAGGTAATCAATACAAAAATTAATGAGGAATTTTACTTTCTTTTATTTGAGAGAATAGCTTTAAAATCAGTTGTATATTTTACACATAGGCTCACCTCATTTAGAATTAGCCACATTTCCAATGCTTAAGAAATATTTGTGTTGCTTGATGGCCACATATGTACTGGTGAACACAATGTGGATCAAATATCTAAGCCTTAGGGATAGTGCAATCAAGAAAAGAGATGTCTTCATTGTATTGTGAAAGCATGTTATGGTGACTGCAACATTTAGGCTTTGAGGTCCTTTCTGATCACTTAATTGAAATTGTTGCAAACAGTAACTATAGAACACGATTTGAAGCATATGTGTTCTCTGTTGTTATAGAAGCAAAAGTTGGTTATGATCTTAAAAACATTTAGTCCTTATGAGTACCACAGTGAAATACTGTTAATGAGTATAGTTAAATAGTAGATCAATTAAGAAGGAAACAGACCTGTTTATAGAAAGAGATTGAGACCTTTTGAACTGTTTTCAGAGACAGAATACCAGTTGTTCTGAGATGACCCGAGTAAGTCCCACAGAATTACATATGTTAGCTAAATAGGGTACCTTGTTACATTACCTATGAATTAGTAATTAGGGGATTGAATTGGTCTATGCTTATTTATCTTATATGGCTAAGGTTCACATTCAAGTTCATATTAATTTGTATTTCCTTATGCAATTTCCCTTATCTGAATTACTTGGAATCTTGCCAGCAAGATATACATTGCCATCCCTTGCTGATTTTCCACAAGATTATTCTCAGTCAATGTAGGCTACCACTGACTGACAGGCTTATCAGCAGATTTTGACAGTAACATCTCTTTGCTATCAGAGGAATACAGGTTTTTCTCTAGCAAGTCTATATTATAGATTACGAAAAACACTGCTCTTATTGTGGAGAATTTTGTTTTCTTCCTTGGTGTTTGCATATTCAATTAACAAAGATCTGTAGGTAAATTTTAGTTTAGTGTGGAAGTGAATAAGAGAAGCTCATAGCGAATTTTACTTTATTTTATTATTGTTATTTTTAGATTAGTCTGTTCTATAATATGTAAACTTCATTAGGTTTTGGAGCTTGCCAGGGATGTTTTTGATTCCATGGGAATTTTTCAATTTACCTCATAAACTATTGATTATTATTTAGGTATTTTGATCTTCCCTTAGATTTAACTTGACCTTTATTAAGGTTATAATATCTGTTTTGAATAGATATAGGAACCAAAGTTATATCAAATGACACTGACTTAGCTAAATAAATAGTAATATTATGATTTGCCTGCTATTTGACTGTAGTGAAGACTTTCATGAGTATTGTACCTAGTTCAATATGATCAAGCATGAAGGAATTCTGTTATTTCTAACAGATTTTTGCCACCAAGATAATTTTTGTATGTCACATTATATTTTTAAATATCCATGTTCCTTGGAATTCTAATCTCAGTTCTCCCTCTTTTTTTTAAACCCTGCCTTCTTGACTGACCTCCTTTATCTTCAGCAACAATTTAGAGACCCATGATTCTTCAGGGCCTGACTGCTTAGATGCACATGTGTAACTGATTCATTCTTTCAGCATGTAGTTATTGAGTACCTACTTTGGGACAGCAACTATTTTTGATGCTGAAGATATATATCAACAAGAGAACAGGTAAAGAACAAAATAAAAATGCCTATCTTCTTGTAATTTAAATTCTCTTATTTTCTGTTTTATAGAAGCATATTTCAAACACTTTTCACCTCTTTCTCTAAAAAGATGTGACATTTTTCTTCCTACTGTTGTTCTTTCAACAAACAATGACACAGTATTTCCAGTGCCCAAGATTAAAAACATGAAGAGTTAGCTTCTGTCGCTGTCACTCACTCACTGCTTCCCCTGGCCCCAAGCACTCATCTAGCAGTCATTAAGTCCTTTTGGTTCCCTCTAATGAATGCACCTGTCTTGCCTGCATCTCCTCTCTTTTGCTTGCCATTGTCTTAATCTAGGCTCTCCTTGTTTTTTCTCTTGGGCATTTTGTTAACAGTTTAACATCTGGTTGTGGTGCCATTTTTTTTCCCCTTTGTCTCTGTTGTGTTATTTACACTATTGCCAGAATTCTTACAGAAAATAAAATTTCAAATCCTCCCAATGCTTCTCCCCAATGTCTGTATACTTTAGTATGCCTGTGGGTAAGGTCCCAGGCAGGTCATGGAAGTATTGCTTTCCTAACTTCTTTCATTACTTCACTCAGAATTGAGCCCCACTGTCATTTAATTCTCTGGGTTCCTTATGGTTTCCTAACCTTAACAGATAACCCTTCCCTCAGCAAGAAATGCCTTTCCCTCTTCTGGCTTTCACTCATACTCATCTGTTGTATGCATCCTTCAAGATGAGGGTCATGTGACAGATCTTTTCAAATTCTTCCTGACTCCTGTTGATGCTATTGGGTTCTAGCACATGTTTCAGTGTTAACCATTTTCATTCAGTTGAGCCGAGAAGTTAGGTACCCGTCTTCGTTCTTTTTTGCCGTAAGCTTTGGTGATAGAGGTAGATAAAATTTTGGGGAGCTTGAAATTTATAGAATTTGGATGTTCTTCTTAAGTAACAATTTATGACATAAAATTAGATATGAAAATGTTTATTTGGGGACCGGGGATGTAGCTTAGTGGTAGAATGGTCACCTGTTATACATGAGGTACTGTGTTCTATCCTCAGCACTGTGTGCATTTGTGTGTGTGCATGCCACACACAAACATACACAAATATAAAGTATTTATTTGAAGATAAATAGAAGGACTCTGTGTCTTCATGCTAAACTCCTTGTGACTTAACATTTAGGAAAATATAAGTGGTCAGTTACGACTTGCTGAAATAATGCAATAGATTTTTCAAGGTATGTAAAACATATCATTATCTGTACATATATCAGTATCTGTATATATCAATATCTGTAAAATATATCAATATCTGTTTCCATGTTTTACTTTTTTGCTATTGATTTTCTAAAAATTATGAAACAATGCCAATTAGCCAACTGATGCTAATACTGTTGACAACTCAGTACAAGGAAATTTACTCAGATTTAATGACTTGATTTACTACTTGATGTGAAAAAGAAAATAAATTACATTCTTCCTTTGAGACCCAATTTTACTTTGGTGGAGGAAATATTGAGTTTCTCCTGCAAATCTGAAACCATAACCTCAGTCAGCACCTACCTCTACCTCCTATTGGTCTGGTGAATGCTAAGGAATTTTCTGAGGGCTTCTTTTGTCTTCTCCATGCAACTTCATCTTTGTATCTGTTCTTTCTTTTGGCTTTCTCCCCTCATCTCTTCTTTCTTTCCTCCCCTATTTATCTGTGTCTTGCCATATATCAAACCAGTTTTGCCAGGTATGGTGCTACATGCTTGTAATCTCAGAGACACAGAAGGCTGAGGCAGGAGGCTCACAGTTCAAAGCCAGCCTCAGCAATTTAGGGTGGTCCTAAGCAACTTAGGATCGTCCTAAGCAACTTAGGGAGGCCCTAAGCAACTTAGCAAGACCTAGTCTCAAAATAAAAAATAAAAAGGGCTGTAGATGTAACTTAGTTGTTAAGTGCCCTTGTATTCAATCCCCGGTATCAAACAAACAAAAAAATAACCTAACTCCCCAACCCAAAACAAAACACCCATTCTCTTTCCATCTGTTTTCTTTAGTAGATAACTTATACAAAGTGTCAGTACTTTGATTAAAGTATAGTTCGCAATTGTCTGGTTCATTTCTGCTCCTTTGAAGGAGTTTGAACAGGTAAAGAACAGGTAGAAACCCTTATTTGTCAAAAGGGGTTTTCATTTATAGAAAAGGTATTATAAAACTGCACTGCATAGGTAAAATGTGATATAGTTTGTAATGTAATTGCTATGCCAGAAATGATGAATTTTGATTTGTATTAAGTAGTCACTGATTAAATAAGCCGGCATAAATTGATAACAGAAACAGCAAAATAAACAGGTGTTTAGATAGTAAATAAGATATAGAATAATAATAATAGCTTTTATGTGCTTATTACTTCCAATCATTTTGCATAAGTTGTTGTTACTGTCCACTTTACAAAGGAAAGGGCAGCTCAGAGGAGTTAAGCAACTTACCTATGATATCACAACTAGTGAAATCACAGTGTTTCTTCAAAAGAACTTTATAAAGTAACTTGGGAACTGTGAAAGCACAGGTGCCTTGAGCTACTTAATCTGGAGGTAAATAGTTGTTTTCTTTCTTGCATTATTATTATTAGATCCAAAAACTGTGATTTGGTGCAGAGGGACTTGCCTTTGATGCTGTTCAATCTTGGGTTGGATTTAAAAGTTACTTTTACTTACAACCATCATGTATGTAAAGGAAAACACTATCTTTCTGAGCCTCAGTTTTCTTATCTGAAAGTGGGAGTATCAAAATGCATATGTATAAAAACGCATGTTCTGCATAAGAAAACAGGGTATATGAAAACTATTTTATAAGTAGTTCATTTCAAACAGTAAAAATGATCCCAATTTTGAAGTTAAAACTTTCACTTGTGGAAAATGTTTTGTCCTTAGGAAGAATCATTATTATAGTAGGTGTAATAGCAACTAATTCTTAAATGCAGTTTTATTACTGGTTGTTAGTGAATAGCATTTTTTGAAAGCCCCAAATAACAGATTGTTGCTTCAATTTGTAGGTTATAACTAAGCCTATGTTTTAAACATTCCAATGATAAAAACATATTTGGAAAGTTCTGCATCTCCAAGGGAGTATTAGGTGGCAGATTTGTATCTGAGGAATAAAGTTGCTTTTTTAAATCAGCAAAACACTATGAAAAATTGACAAGTTTGTTACTTAAGGAATCCAGTCAGAGTAGATATCCAATCTGATTGAGTAACTTTCAATCCTCCATTCTTATTTCCTTCTTTCCTTTTTTCACTCTTGGTTCTCAAATCCTCCTGCAGCTTTTCAGTATATATAGACTTTTCAGTACATCCTACAAAAATAGCTATAGAGGCTGGGTGCGATGGCACATGTCTGTAATCCTAGCGGCTCCAGAGGCTGAGGCAGGAAGATCGAAGTTCAAAGCCAGCCTCAGCAACTTAATGTGGCCCTGTCACAAAATAAAGGGCTGTGGACATGGCTCAGTAGTTAAATGCCTCTGGGTTCAATCCCTTATACAAACAAAACAAAACAAACAAACAAAAAAACCCCAAAAGCCTATAGAAATATGATTGCTTAATAAATGATCTGAGTTAGATGATCTTGATAAAATTATCTCTTTGATCCTCCATTTACATATTCGTAAAATCTGGTGTTAACAAGTTATGTGTTTGGGAATCATTAAAATGCACAAAATTTTCTTATATGTTTCAACAATTAAGCATTGATAATTCCAAAATTTCTTCTGCCAAGTGTATTTGAAGGTTCTGAATTGCTCCATGAAAAGTATTGTGAAGAATAGCCTCAGAGCAAGAGTGATCACTCACAAGCCCTTCATAATACCTGCAGGGTGCTTTTCTGCACAGAGCTGGAACTCAACCAAGAGGGCTTGCAAGTCACTAGTTACCACAAGCCCAGTTACAGGAGAGGAAAAACAGCCACATTAAGTACTACTCCAGTGTCTGTCCCAGAGGACTTCTGATCAGAAATTTGAGACAGCTATTTCTTGAGTAAAGTTTGTAAACTTTGTCTTTATTTATATCCAAACTCAGCAAAGGGAAATTATGGAAGCCGCAAACTGAATTTTGAATGCATGATTGATGGGGAAGGACAAAAATATCTAATTATGTATAATACTTATAGCTCAGTAATAACTAAGTAGCTCATATGATAGATGATACTCTTCATAATTTTTATAGGAAAGTTTCCAGAATGGAAGAAATAATTTGGAACAGTAATATGGAAATGGTGGAAGTACAGTTACTTAAAGAGTTAGAGGGAGCCAGGCCTGGTAGTGCCTGCCTGTAATCCCAGTGACCAGGAGGCTGAGGCAGAAGGATCCCAAGTTCTAGACCAGCTTCAGCAACTTAGTGAGACCCTGGCTCAAAATAAAAAAGGACCAGGGATGTAGCTTACTGGTAAAACACCCCTAGATTTAATCTTCTGTACCTACCCCCCATACCCCTTCTCAAGAAAAAAAAAAAAAAGAATAAAAAAGGAAAGATAGAAAATGACCTTTGGAGAATAGTGTAAACCTGAGGTTGTTGGATAAGGTGGTAAGTTGAAACATTATTGTTAATATTCTGGTCAGCTCTCCTACCTCCTCTTTCCACATCTTTATGGTTATTGGAAAGTTTGTCTCTACTCACCAACCTTTAGGGCTTTCCACTGAGGAATCACTTGGTTATAAATGACAGTGCCAGTTATTGTTCTGTCTAAATATTGTCATTAAGATCTCCTTAACTGAAAATCCTTCCCTGAGTGGGCAGTTGAGAAATAATAGACATCTTGTTACCGTCTGTTCCCTCTTATTACAGTTAAGTTCAAACATAGACCAGTTGCCAGCTGAGTTTCTGGGTCCTGTGGAGAAGCTTTGAGTAGTCTTTGTTTTTTAGAAGCACCAAGGACACAGTCTGCCCAGGCTTCACTAGGGAATTGCCTCATTGCAGGCAGGCAAAAGGCAGGAGCCTGAAATAATTTCTCTGGAGAATTTGTTGCCAGTGTAGGAAT